TAATGCATGGATGATCCCATTTTAAGTGTCTTTAGAATGGTTTAAAGGTAACTTGCAATACCAAGGGAACTTTTAACTAGTTACTCAAGTTGCATCTGGTTCTTCAATACCTTGCAGTTGGACAAGGAGGGGAGAGAGAGATGCTAGCATCTAGCAGCTACAAACATCAGAGCATAAAACCACGCAATCAGCCTGAAAGCACCACTGCTCTGCAATACATCAGCTCCGTGAAGTGGGCATCCTCGTGCGTTATGCACTGGTTAACAGGCTGTGAGCTGCCTCTACTTGTTTTAAGCTCTTGCTCTTAATCTCATCTCTGTTCGATATGTGCCTGCATGTGTGTGTGTCTGCATGGCTGTGTGTGTGTGTGTGTACAGGGGGAGGACTTTATTTCTATTGGCTAAGCTTTCCCTTCCCACCCACATCCCTTCCACATCACCTTGGTGTCTCCCTAAATAAAACCAACCCTCCTTATCGCACTGAGGAAATCAAGAGCTAGAGTTTGAATGGATTTTATATAAATATTTACCCATGCTAGGCTCCTGCTGAGCACATAGGATAAACTCACAGCAGCTGGCCTGATCTGCTCTTCCTCTCTCCTCTCTCTCTTTCCCCATCGATACAGGTATTTGAGAGGGATCCTGTTCTGTCTGTCTGGAGACTGACCCAAAAAACATTGCCAGGATTTTAGCAAACTAGTCTGATGGATCTTAAGGACAGCGCCAGCGAGGGCAGCATGGAGAGCATGGAGCCCTCCAGTATCCAGATTTTTGCCAACACCTCTACCCTCCATGGGATTCGGCACATATTTGTTTATGGGCCAGTGACCATAAGGCGTTTGCTGTGGACCGTGGCCTTTGTGGGCTCACTGGGTCTCCTCTTGCTGGAGAGCTCAGATCGGGTAGCTTTCTACTTCTCTTACCAGCATGTCACCAAAGTGGATGAAGTAGTGGCCAAAAGCCTGGTTTTCCCTGCGGTCACCATCTGTAACCTAAACGAGTTTCGTTTCTCCAGACTCACAACCAACGACCTATACCATGCTGGGGAGCTCCTGGCTTTGCTTGATGTTAATCTTCAGATTCCTAATCCCCACCTGGCAGATCCAGCTGTCCTGGCAGTTTTACAGGAAAAGACCAACTTTAAGAAATATGATCCGAAAAATTTCAACATGCAGGAGTTCTTTGCGCGTGTGGGGCACGATCTGAAGGATATGATGCTGTACTGCAAGTTCAGAGGTCAGGAGTGTACTCATAAGGACTTCAAAACTGTGAGTATTGACAGATTTTGGCTTTTTTCTCGTCTCTGGGTGTGTGGCCAATTGGTGACGGTGGAGAACGCAGCTAGTGCTTAGGGTGATATGAACTAGGGTGATATGGCTCCAGGGCATGCTGAGAGAGAACTTGATTAGGAGTAGACAGCCTGTTGAGCTGAAGTTTGTTTGACAGAGTCGATTGGTATCTGTTCACTGCAGTGGAGCAGGGAGATGCTCAGACAACCCTGCTGAGTGTTGTGGCAAAGGCACCCTTCCCTCCCCTGACTGCTCTTCCTGATCTGCCCGAGAAGACTCTCCCTTCCCAAAGGCTGCTTGGTGGTGGAGCTGTGATCCATATGGATCTTTAGTTGAAGTATGTACCAGAGGATGTGATTTGCAGCTCTGTTGGTGGCAGTCCTGTGCAAAGGGCAGGTGTGCTGAGATGGAGAGCTGCCTGTGCTCCATCCTTCAGTTGAGAGTGCCTGCCTGGGATTTGTTTCTTGGATAGAGCTGTAGTTTGTGACCTCCTGACTTGAGGGGGATTCTTCTTTTGCCCACATGTGGTGTGGCTAGTAAACCGTAAGTGCTGTTGTTAGTTTGCTGTGCAGTGTGTATAACAGCTGGTTCCTTTCCTGCTGTTTTATTAGAGCAAGCGGTACAATCAGACCCCCCACCCCCATTGTGTTGCATCCCCAATACCAAAGATTTTCCATTCACTGGCTAATGCATAGAGTGAGTTGGTTAGTCTTGGGAGCTTGAAAGAAGCAAACGCTACTTAGTTTGAGAGTTCTGGGTTACACTTCTGACATAAATTAATGCTTGCCTGTGGTAAATCACTGATGAAAAGTAGTAGCTTTAAAAATGTCTATATTTCTGGAAAGAAATGGTGAGTCTCTGCAGAATGCTATGTTGTGAACCTTCTGAAAGCAGGAGGGTATTGTGCCTCCCTGAGGATGCTCGCAGACCCAGGAGGTCACTGGGTGAGTGAAGGGCAGGGTGGAGCTCAGAAGTGCATCTGTTGTTTATAAGCATGTGGTCTGAATGGTGTCTCAGTAAACCTGCCACTGTGGCTGCTAATAATTTTTTGGGGACTGTACCAAATTGTGACTTTCTCTATTTCTGGAACTCTCCTGCATCATCTTTTGACTGATTCAGCAGGTTTTGGGACAGTTAAGTATTCAAAGAGTGAATAAAGCTGGCTGTTAGCAGCCATTTGTTTCTCCAGAACACACACTGTTTGTTCCTGTTATTACTGATTGCCCTATGAATGTGTGGTGGGGCTGTATTAGCAGGGATTTATTGGTTGTCATAATGCACTTGCCTTTGTGACAAAATATTTTAGGTACAAGGTTTATTTAATCTCCTAAAATGCAACCTATGAAACCTTTCATATGTCTCTGATTCTTGTGTGCTGTTAAACTTGTGACTTAAGCTGGCTTATACTAACAGTACATTGTTATTAGGTGGAGAGTATTTTCCTTAACAAATGTGACCATACTATTTGATGCTCTGGTTATTACCAGGTTACACTGATGTGCTTTTATCTGCTATAGGACAAACCATCCATTTAGGAGAAGAATTCAATTTCCATTGACCATTAAGTAGAGCTGTGATTGTTCCACTGACAGGAGGGGGTAAAACAATGCATTAAAAGAGGAATGGCTTCTATTATGGAATAGGCATGTGTATATACGAAGGGAGAAGGTGAAGATGGGGTTCTGGTGGAGAGAAGGAGCAGGTGCCTGAGTTCAAGGGAGAAAAAAGGATCCTGGAAGTTTGAGATGGGCCTATCCCAGCAGTGATCCCTGATCAGAGACCTCAAATGTTGGGAGCATCTGAAATCTGGACCTGTCTATGGAAGTGGTTACTTTCTGT